TCATTATAATTTTGCCAGATATCATAAAACTTGAACAAAGCTATTTCTATTTTTCCGGAAAAGGATTTAACTAACATGTTTTCCAATAAACCGTAAAAAGTGGTAATATCCTCTGAAAGTTTGAGATTTTCATCAAGCAAAAATGTTTCACCATCACAACTGATGAATCCGTGAATGTTTGTTCCATCAGATAAGAATCTATTGATACACGAAAATAGTTGTGAAATGTATTTGTTTTGCACGTCGATGTCTTCCCCCGAACCTAGTAGTTCGCATAACGATTCATTACTTAGTAAATTGAATCTGGGGTAAAGTTTTTTATATTTGTTTAGCACCTGACTAAGAGAATTTTTAATGGAGTTCAGTTTATCATACAAAATATCGACTATAGTGTCGTAAACTAAAAGTTCGTCGATACTGATTGCAGTAGCGTTATTGAAAATCCTATGATATTCTTTCAAGCATACTTCGAAAATGTCTTTTTGACTATTAACACCAGGATAGTTGCGTTGGAATAGGTTGAACAAATACAAAAACAGATTTGAACAATTCTGAAGTAAACAAATGTAATTCTTGATTCTGTTAAGATAACAACTTTTGTGAGCAATTTCATCTGCAAACTGCATTTTAAATTTCTCTTCATGAAATCTTGAAAACATTTGTAACGCTTCGTTTATCAATATCTTGTTAACTTCCAAATTACTGGGGTAGAATATTTGGAGCCTTACATGCTGATCTATTTTTATAACGATTTTTTTGCAAATATCATCAATAGATTTGACAGTCTTCTTGAATATCGTTTCATTTTTAGCAAAACCGATGATATTGTCGAATTTATCACGATCAATGTAAGAAATAGATAACAGATCGATTTGTGGCTGGTACAATTGAAGCCAATAGTTGCTGGTATCCCCCGGTTTGTCAGCTAATTTTTTAAAATTATTTTCGCGATAATAAATGCCCAAGAAATCGTAGATCCTATTACTCGCACTCGTAATTTCTAATAATAATAGTTCTTTAATTTTAGAACTATCTTGTTGGTTCAAAAGAATTTCTATGTAATTCAAATCTAACTTATTCAAAATATCCAATATAGCATTGTCATGTTCCGTCAAGTTAAACTTGCTAGATATTTCGGACTTTAGTTCTTCGGTTTTCAAAAAAATTTGCTCGTAAGACAGCTTTTCAAATGGACACAACATTAAATCCGTGAAAATTTTCTTTATCTTTAAGTTCTTGACTGCAATACATCGTTTTCTTTCGAGTTTGTCAATATTTACTTTTAGTACAGCGCAATCATTCTCGGCGAAAAATTGTGAAAACTCACTTTGAAATTTTACTATCAGTAATGCAAACTGCAATAAACTTTCTTCTTCTGGGATATTCTCATAATCTTTAACATTATCTCGTACATAATTTTGAAATAGTTGCAAAATGTTCTTTTTTGGTTCTTCAGGAAAGCCGCTTGATGGTTCGTAACTAAACATTATCTGATCATCGAATTGTCCCGCTACTATATCATCAACTATATTGAATTTTTCTAAACACGAAAAATTAAACTCATTTTCTAGGTGTAATGCTTTATCTATGCAAATTTTTACGGCAAATGTCAAAATACGTGTGATAATTTCATAGTTTTTAGTAATTCTGGTAAGCGTTTGACGTATTGTCACAAAAGTATCGAGGTCAATTTTCTGATTGATTAATGTCTTATTAGTCGCAATACGTTTGTAAAGAGGTTCATATTCGCATAAAAAAAATTCGTTTGAAAATACTTTGTAAAAAATTGAAATTTGCGTACAATATTCAAACTTACTGGTGAAATCAACTATGGAACAAAACTTCTCATTGTAGTAGTCGTAAAAAGCTGTAAAAACTGAATGAATGATAGTTGTTTTTTCTGCTAATTCAGCAGTTTTTGATTCTAATATTTTCACAAAGCTTTGTGGCAATACAAGATTAACGGTATTTTCATCGATTGAAATTTGAAAACCATGGGTAGAAATTTGTTTCGAAACTTTTTTAATTACAGTTGTCTCTTCTTTTAATGTAACAAGATCATTAATTAGTGTTTCGAAAGTTTCGAAGGGATAAAGTTCTGTCATTTCTTGGGTACGATCCGGGATCATCAATAGTCTAAAAATTCTTTTTGCCAATAAAAGCAACTGAGTAATAGCTGTCTCCTTTATTTTAGAAAACTCAAACAATAATGCTTGAATCTTTTCAGAAGAACATACATCTTTGAATATTGGTTCTGGTATTTCGCTGATTAACTGCTCAAATTTCACTCTCAACATAGATTTAAAAGATTTTCCAATAATCCAAGGAAATTCTAAGAAATTATCGTTCGTGAAATCTACGTTAAAATGGCTGTCAGAATGATACGTGTCGTGCAATAGATGGCTAAGTTTATCTGCCACAGTTTTTGTCACTTTCACAATTATCATCTTTATAACCCGTTCGTAAAGTTCTTTTTTATTGACACTTTTTGCATATTCAAACGATGTCACGTAGTCATGCAAGTTGAGTGAAAAATTGATTTTAGCAATAATAGTTGTAAACCAGTTAAATTCATACTTAAACCTCAAAAGCCTGGTAATATAATTGTCTAGTTCTAATTCTATTTCAGTGTTACCAGTGAAAGTTTTAATTTCACGTAGGAGATCAAAGTATGAAGTATAAAAACTGTCAAATACTAACTGGCGGTTCATACTCAACGCTTCGGAACGTTCAATCAATGAAAAAAGCTTTTCAATAGCTTTGATCGCATTTTCTAGGACGTTAAGTTTACTATAAATTAATAACTCTTTATTGATTCTATTTCTGTAATCGAGCGGGTAAATGAAAGCGTCGATAGAGTCGTCTTCATCATAACCTGCAAATTTAGCATTTATCCAGTTGGAAAAAAGTTTCAGCCGAGCCAAATCTTTTATGACCAGTCGATAAGTTTCGCCAGCTTCAATTACTTCGATCAGTTTTTTCGAGTCAGTTGTTTGTTTGAAGTACTCTTGAGTGAATAGATAAAGATTGAATTTTATGGTTGCCATTATTTTGATCATTTCATCAATTTTTTTTTGACATAACAGATTGACTTGTTCGTATGATTCCGTCTTAATTTTGTTTGACTCAAAAAAAACTTTAACTGCAAGCTTTACTTGCTTGATAAATACTTGATATGATTTTAAGCTTTTAAAGTCATAGTTAGTTAAGATCTGGATGCAAACATTATCGTTGTCATCGTTTAATTTAAGTTGTTGCACGTCGAGTTGAGCCAATATTTCTTGAAATGATGACAAAATTAGCTCGTCATACCCGTAAAATGTCTCGGTTTTTACGTCCATAAGATAACAATTTAAATACAGTATTTTATCTAACATTTCGAATATTGAACCATTGCTGTCGAGAAAATTATTCTCGATTTTAGAGCCCGTTTTGCGTATTTTGTAACAAACTTCGAATATTTTTTTTTTGTACAGAGACAAAGCTTCTCTTTCTTTGACAAATACGCCGAGTAATTCATGGTATCCCAGTTCATTTTTACCCGCTTGGGTTAATGCGTCAGAAATTTTGATATTTAGCTTGTTTCCGGAGGTGCTAATAATTCTCTTCAACAACCATGAACTCTTGTCAGCCTGTAATAGTAAGTTTTCATCATTTTGTATACTAGTCGTATCAAAAATTTTTAGAAAAGTTACATAACTCTGATGTTTTTTTATTTCGAGCAGTACCTCTGATTCTACTTCTATCAGATTTTTAAGTAAAATTACTAGAGTTTGAAACTTGCTATCATTGAAAAAAGAAATAGAGCTGATTTTTGAGAAGAAATTTTTATATTTTTGGTGAGTCAACCAGGTCACGGCCATTTCCCATCCTTCCAAGTGTTTTTCTGATTTTAACATTATATTTTTAACAGTTGCATGAAGTATAGCCAGTATAACCGAATTTATGAAGCAGTCTACCCAAACCTGTGTTTCATCATTGTTGCTTTGATAACGCGATAAAAACTCTACACTTTTATTGAGTACGTCGTCTATTTGTCTGTGTAGCTTTTCAATGGAGTTAGATTCCAACTCATTCGTAACATACTCCAGTGTTTTTTTCATATCGAGAAAAAAATTTAAAGTTGTATCCAAGATCGAACTGATAAATATTGGACTTAAATCAGTCTTGAGAGTTTTATAAATTTCTATGATTATTTTCGTTTGGTCGTTAAAGGATAGTTGTAACTTTAATTCCTCGAGAAGTTCAATTATTTCTTGAGTTTTAGTATAATAAGTTGACAGTAAAAATACATTTCTATTGAGAGATAAGAGCTCGGATATTTTCTTGTTCCAATGAATTGCCTGACTCATAAGTTCAGTATAGAATTCGTTATTACTTTTAATTTTAGCTACTAAGTATGAAATCTGTTCAGTAGATTGCTTTTCCGTAAGATAAAATTCATTCAATACGGTATTGATATATATTGTAAGTTTTTCAGATTTTATGACGAAAAGATCTGCAAATGGACGCTCATTTTGCGTTAAAAAACGTCTCAATACGTGATTTGTCATAATTTGCTTGTTCTCCTTAAACTCAACAGAGGCTAAATAAGTTTTTACAGTATCGTGAAATAAATTTTTCATCGATTCTACTAAATCAGAATCATTTAAAATTTCAGATTCACTGTAAAATACCGTCATATTGAAAATCTTATCTTTAATAAATAACACAAAACGTTTAACGGGAGTTACTAATCGATCTACATGTACAATAAGTTTTTCGTCAGGAGTGATAGCGACGATCAAAAAAGAATTACGGGAACTAAGTAAGTATTTTTCAATAATCTCAGATTGAGCTTCTAAATCGACATTGACAGCCAGCAAAGTTGAAGTGATAAAAGATATATCGTTCTTAGTGATGTTCATTAATTTATAACCGTTTAAAAAGTTTGAATAGACGCAATAAGAGCGGGCGATGCATTTTTTATAGATTTCAAAAAAGTTTAATTAAATATTTACTTAAATACCGACATTAATTCGTTTTAATGTATTGTTAGCAAGCTCTTTAAGAGTCTGATCTTTCACCAATTCCTCAATAGCAGCTTTGATAATATCAGGGGCGAAAGTTTTGCTTTTCAATTTACTGCTTAAAGTCAACTTGCTAATTTTAGATCCGATGGGAACCTGTTCTAATATGACATCTTTACAGGTCTTAAGCCTTGCGAGCTCAAACTCAGTGAAATATTCTCTGTTGGAAGAGTTGGTGTCTGCAGTCGCAAGAGTAGAAAGTTTAAATATTTGAATGGCTTCTTCAACAATTTGTTCAGTGACTACGTCGGAAAGCGTCATTTTAGCAAGAGAATCTGCAATTCGCGCAATGGATTCCAGCTGACGAACCGTAATTGGTATTTGTGTTTTTTTATTTTTCTTAGACAATACTCGAGCTTGTTCTCGAATTTCAACGTAAAAATTTTCTAAATATTTAGCTGCGTTTGCAGACAAATGAGGTTTGCAAACAGTTTTGCAGTATTGAACATACTGTTTCAAATGCTCAAATGAGAAAGTGTTTTTGGACGAGTTGGAAATCAAGTCTGAAGAAGAATTCATGTTGTCTCCAAACCGATGATTTCCTCTGTGGATATTGTAAATGTGAGAAGCGATTTTCTTGTCGATCGACTCATATCTCAAATCTCTGACAAGCCATATGGCATCGAATCTTGACAATATAGTTGATTCAAAGTTGTGTTGTTCCGACGTGGACATAGTGGAGTCGAAAAACCCAAAGGTAGGGTTACCGGCGGCAAGCACGGCACATTCAGTTGAAATGACCGCGTTAATACCGGCTTTTGATGTACTGATAGTTTGTTGCTCCATAGCTTCGTGTATTGCGACTCGGTCAGAGTCTCGCATCTTGTCGAATTCATCAATACATACTATTCCTCCATCTGCTAGAACCATAGCACCTCCTTCTAACGCGTAGCTTCCGTTTTGATTTTTTATCAAAGCTGCGGTAAGCCCAGCAGCACTTGACCCTTTACCGGAAGTGTAAACTGAAATTGGGGAAGCTTTTGATACAAAGCGTAAAAGTTGAGATTTAGCCGTCGATGGGTCACCAAGCAGTAGGATATGAATATCACCTCTAATAGTCATACCGTCTCTAAGGACTTTACGGTTACCTCCAAACAACATGCAAGCCAAACTCTTCTTTATATCTTCGTGGCCCTCGATTGTAGGAGCGATAGATTGAAATATTCGTTCTTTTATATTAGGAGTTGAAGCCAAATAACAAATATCTTCTTTCAAAGACGAAGTGAAGTTCAGTGAAATACTCGGACCAGATCTGAAACATTCTACTCCTAAAGCATGTATGTATGCAGATTTGATTTGTTTATTTATAATTTGATCAGTTAGTAAACAAGTGTATACACCTATTAGACGTACTCTGGAACCCGGGACGACTTTACCAACTAGAGGCGTAGTGAAATTAGCCATAATATGATTTGGAGTCTCGCCGTTCAACACGTTTTCTGGCAAGTCTTGAATTTTCAGTGATTGAACTTCGTAGAACTCACATAGTTCTGACACTATTTGGTACGGCTCAACTCCACAAGCTGACGTTTTAGTATGTAATGGATTGTTCGGATCGAGATTTATTGTTGCTTCGCACTGCTTCGGCAGCATTGAACCTTGTTTCCAGGGAGGTAAAAATTGCATTTTTTTGTTGCCACAGTCACGGCATTTTAGCACAAGAGTTTGAACCTTCATAGCAGGCTTTGAAGCCAATATGCATATTCCTTCAATAGACACGAGTTTGTGAACGTAAAAACTAGTGAGATCAAACAACGACATTGGGCGCGTAGTACTTATGAAATTAACAAACAGATGGTTCATCTTGAGCCTGATTTTGAAATAGTCCGAATAACGACTCAAAAGTGAATCAATAGAAATTGAGCAATCTCTAGACGTCAACAATAGAGAAATGTCGTTCAGCAAAGTCGGCTCAAGTTCAAAACGTAAAATATATAACAAAATCGCTAAATCAATCACAGCATCGTTCAATATTTGTATATATTTTAACGGTTGGTTCACAAATGCGTCATATGCTTCAGAACAGTTAACCAAAAATATGGGGTTTTTACGAGCTTCATCCGCGCTGGGCTGCCAAGTAATGTATCGTTTGAAATCATCTAAATAAACGTCTAAAATGATTTGGTCAATCAAATCGAATTTAGGGCCCAATATGATAGAACGCAGTTTCTCAACATAATTTTGTGTTTGTGTAGTTGAGTTAATTAAGAAATATTGAAAAACCCATTTAAAAGAAATTACATCGACTGTCATTATTTAGTATATTGATTTACGACTAACCTCAGACATAACCAAAAGATTTAGTATTAGATTAAATCTGTTTCTAGCAAATAAAAAATCGAAAACTTTCTTTAAAAAAAAATATGCAATTGGTTTTTCTTTTCAAATCTGTGAATTAAACTGAAAATTTTAAGCGACCAAATTAATATGACCAAGACAATAATACACCGAGTTTGATGATTTTAAAAAAAAACATTACTTTAAATGTCATATGCAACGAATAATAGAATTTACAGACCGACAGTAAGTATTAGCATCATAAATTTTTGAAGCTTATAAAAAACACGGCAGAGTTGTGTGAACGTGGTACCATAACTCACAAAAAATCTTTGGAAGATCAGGAAAATATTTTAAAAAATAATGAAATTCCACTTTCTATTGCAAACGGAAAGATAAGTGTTACTTATTTCAGTAATCAGATTTGGTGTGAATACCAACTACTGTACAAATTAGTTACCAAGCTGCAAATCGAAACTGAAGCAACTAAGAGAGGTATTAAACGCCACGAACAGCTTGAATTAGAATCACATTCGTTTGAGGAGGTTACTGTTTCATGCATGGAGGAGCTAATGGGTATTAAACTTTTAAATACTGTAATTCAAATTGAAGAAATTTTTCAAACTAGTAAAAAAGTCAGAGAAGTTTGGGTTTTTTACCCATTAGATCACGACATTATAATACGTGGCATTATTGATGAAATATGTGTTGACGTTAATGGAGACTTACTATTAAAAGATACGAAAACAAGAGCAGAACTTACCATTCCACCTGACTCGCAAAAGCAATCTAGTGCGTTACAGCTTGGAATATATGCGTTTATTATTGACAAATTACGTAAAGCGTCTTCTGAGGATGAAAGTTTTGAAGCATTTTACGATCTGTACAAATGTGACAAAACGAAACCCTTTGAACTAGACATTTTACAACCTTACAAAAACTTGAAAAACATACTCAAGCTTTACTTGGAGTCGTTCAAAAAATTACCAGCTAAATTAAATTACGCAGAAATAGAATATGATTGCGAAGGTACAATATTTCACATAGAAAGAATACCAATTAAAAAGATAAATCTTAGTAATACATTGAATTATTTATTAGAGTGGTGGTATGGAGAAAGAAACGCAACAAAATTGACTACTCATGAAACGTATAAGTGCAAGCATTGTGCGTTTATTGACATTTGTCAGTACACTCCACTTAGTGTGAGTGAAAAAAACGCCACAATAGCTGAAAAATACGTTAACGAAGACATTGAAGATCTTATTAGTGATGATTAATGATTATAAGGTTAATTTTGCTTGTAAAATTTCCCAACAAGTATTTTATAATTTTACCAAAATTAATATATGATTTATTAATAACTAGCATGATAAATTCAAATGACATAAAAGGTAAAATAATAATTTCAAGGCATCATACTGAAAGAACAAAAAATGCAAAGTTTATTTTTGTTTTGGTGGGGGCTTGTCTGGAACTCATTCACATAGGGCACGGAGAACATGATATAGTTCAAGGTCAAATACATAAAAAAAGTTTACTGAAAGTCGATCCAGACAGAGTTATTGAAGATTGCAGACCTGATATTGTTTATCATTGTCTATTACAGTTGCAAGAAAGCGCCCTTAACAAGCTTGGACTTATCAATGTATACATACAAACGCAGACAAATGAATTGATAAACGTTTCTCCCCTTTGGAAGTTGCCAGAATCTTTCACAGCTTTTAAAGACGTTATAGCATGTTTGTTGATAAATCGAATTGTTTACGATACTAGCGGCAAAAATGTTTTACTCTCCATAGTAAAAAACGATTTGTTGTTGTATTTCCCTCCGGATACAATTAAAATCGGTTTTGAAATTGATGGAGAAAATATTGATCTGAAAAAACTACTCAGTGATAACTTAGCTATTTTAAAGAAACCAGCTGACCCGACGTTACTATCATGTCTGTCGAACATACATCACAAATTATTCTCTGAATTCCAAAAAAATACGAAACCAGTTGCTTTTTTCATTGGTTGCATTGCCAAGGGAAATTACACTGATTATGTACAGAACGATATCACTGAATATAAAATATCCTTGGGAGACTATCATTTAAGTGCAGCTGAGTGTTGCAACCAAATAATTTACCATCTCGAAACTATTTTATTTTCGGAAAATTAGAATTATTTTCGAATTAACAAAAAAACAAAGTTACACAAAATTTAAAAATAGTTACACTTAAGTGGCGTAATCTCGATTGATGAAATTTTAGTATTATAATTTTTTACAAGTTAGATGACGATTAACGATGTAAATTTAAAACATCACATCAAAAATAAGTTTGAGCGTGGTAAAATTGTAAAGCAAGTGAAAAAACAGCTTAAATTAAAAAAAGAACTGAGTCAGCATTTAAAATATGAAAAATTAACCCAACCAGCCACAACAGGATTTATCGAAACCACTTTGCCTTACGAAACTACATTGGAAGTCACTCAAAACGAAATCAAGAAGCATCTTTCAAACACTAAATCTAAACTTGCAAAGGAAATCCCAATTAAAGACAATGCTTACTTAGACATAACTAGAGATGGGAAGCATTTATTGTCAGTACGTAAGACAGGAAAGTGCATTATAACTGAATTTTCCGAAACAGCTGACGCAATTTCGAATTTTTCAACATACGAAACGGTTTATGACGCGAAATTTTGTTACAATTTTCAACGCTTAGCTTTAGCTAACAAAAACTATGTTAAACTTTACGATGAAAAAGGCGCTCTAACAAATACATTATCAGATCATAAATACGTAACAAAGCTTACTTACTTACCAAACCATTTTTTACTGGTTTCTGCATCGTTTGAGAACAAATTACTTTCTTGGTACGATATATCTACCGGAGAAAATATTACTACACATGCATTAAAAAAATTTAACAGGACTTGCTTAACTCATAATCCATACAATGGAGTTGTAATTACGGGTCATGACGATTCTTCTGTTCGTCTTTGGACGCCCTCGTTAGATTCCTCGGCAGTTTCGTTTATCGCGGACAAAAACGTTCCAATTTGTGACATCCAAGCTTATAACGACCACTATTTAATCGTTGCCAACGCGTCGCAAAAAGTACAAATTTTTGACATACGAAATGCAATAAAGCCTTTAAAAATAATAAATCTAACCAGCCACGGCGAGTCGAAAATAAGTGTTTCGCAAAACAATTTGGTTTCTATTTCGCAAGGCCCCGTTGTCAACGTGTGGAAAGATTTATTACTTGATTCGTCAGTCAGAGAGAAGAAATATTTACATCATCGATTCCGAGATGGTTCAATTATAAATTCAACTGTTTTTCAGCCCTTTGAAGATATTTTATTTGTTTCAACTCAAAACTACATTAGCCCACTGTTAGTTCCTGGAAGTGGATACGCTGAAATAAACTATTCCAGCGACAATCCGTTTATGACTAATAAGCAAAGAAGAAAACAATTGACCCGAGATCTGTTAGACAAACTTCCAGCGGCCACAATTATGTTGGACCCCACAAAATTCTCTTACGTATAAACTTCTCAAATTGATTCCAATTCATATTCTTAAAAAAAAAACTACTAAAAACTAGTTTACACATCCCCGGCTAACCAGTTTTTATTTCTTTGCGTCCAATTAGGCTGCTTGGTCTAGTGGTATGATTCTTCGTTCGGGACGAAGAAGTCCTGGGTTCGATTCCCAGAGCAGCCCTTTTTAAAGATGTAATTATAATTTAAGTACTATGATTAATACCATAGAGGCTTAAAAATAAAAGCCTACGATGGGAATCGAACCCATGACTTCTGGCTTACAAAACCAGTGCAATGCCACTATGCTACATAGGCTGTTTAATAGCTCGACCACTTGCTCCAAACCCGCGGTAATCTGTTAAATTAACTTTTGTACCTTAAGCCTAGTTTTGTTTCTAGTGCAACTTCTCATTTGTCTTACAGCGTCATATTCTGTATGGCAACGTAAAAATTTCTAAGGTTTGGGCGATTAGCTCACTTGGTAGAGCGCTCGCTTCGCATGCGAGAGGTACAGGGTTCGATTCCCTGATCGTCCAGTTTTTAATTAGATTAGATAATATCTAGGCGTTTAAAGCAGCCAGCATAGGTAATTTTTTTATATACATGAAAAACAACAAACTTTCACAATAATTCAGCTAAGAAGATTTATTATGAATCATTGCATAGACAACCACATTGGAAAGAAAATTGCATTGCCCATAATTCCTAAATATAAAAAATTATTTATAATTTCTAAAATTGAAAAACTCTACAATACCAATTATCACTAAAACTTCACAAACGATGAAGTGGGTTTATAAAGTATTTGATATAAACAACTTTGTTTGTAACTATTGTTCCATATCTACCACTAAAAGCTGTGTAGATAAGGTTTTTACGGATAAAAATGAACTCGCTTTTGCTGAAACAGTTTTTTATATCGATGTAACTGATCCAGCTAAAGTAGCTTGCTCGAAACACGTTTCTGAACTTAAAGATAAGTCTTTAATTACTTACAAGCTACATCGTGTCTTTTTTTCAAAAACTGATCTTGTAGAAAAGCTATTGACAAAATTTCTAAAAAGCCATTTTAGCAACGACATATACTACGAATACACTGAAGAAGTAGAGTTTAACACAGACGTTAAAAAATCTGACGGTTCAGCCTACACTCAAACAGACATTTACGAGGTTTTATTTAACGCGAATGCAGATGCTAAATCTAGAGGCGGGTATCAGTTCAACTACGACAACAAGTTACAAATAGAAGAAGACACAAAAAGAATAGATTGTTTCCCATTTGAAGCGAAGGGTCGAATAAAGGATTTAAATTCCGTTTCCAATTGGAAATGTGACGAATGTGGAGCTACAACTAACTTGTGGTTGAACTTGCATGATGGTTTCATTGGTTGTGGAAGAAACAACTACCTGAATGAAAAGTCTTTGTGCACAAGATCAAATGGGTACAGTGCGTCGTTGAATCACTGGCTAAGCAACGCTTCCAACGCGTACGTCTTGAAACTAAACACACTGTCGTCAGATACATATGAATGTTACAATTACCAATTAGACCGCTTTATTATATTCAAAGATCGTCAGTCGCTTTACCGATATATATACGATTCGTTTGCAATTTCGGTTTGTAACTTAATTCCGACCGAAGAACAACTGCGATCCAGTGCAAAAGCTCCTGATTTGGCTGAAGAGCGACTCATATCTAAAGATACTATTGCAGTGACCTGTCCTCCCCCGAAGCCGTTCAACGGTCCGGGAAGCCCCATTTATATCAAACCGATGATAAACTTAGGGACAACTTGTTACCTGATTTCTGCATTTCACATATTGAAATTTTTGGTGACCGACACCTCCAGACACGATATCAATGACACAGTGACAGATGTACTACGCCTGATCGAAGACTTGCAAGCTGAGAACGAAAATATTACCTTGTTTAAATACGTTCAAGAATACAAACTGCGATCAAAGGAACTTGTCAAATATGCGAAGAATTTGACAGTAAATGACTTGAAACTGGCGCTCTCTAACTGTGACTCTGAAATAAGAGGCACTCTGCAGTCTCAAATATCCGAAAAATCCGTGCAGGAGATGAAAAAGCGAAAATATTTAGATTTCGACTACAGCCTTTCTTACAAAATCAGCAACCCTACACATTTACTCGATAATATTTTGGAAATAGGGGCGGGATACTCGACACATACCGAAGCTGATGTCGTTGAGTTTTTAGAAGATGTTCTAGAAGTTTTAGACACGCAATCCGTCTTTGGCTTGTCTAAGTTGCTCGGCTGTTTTTACCCGCAAAGAATAGTCTACTTAACCCCATTCAAGCCAACATCCCTAAACACGATCAAGCTCACTACAACGAGCAGCAACATTGCGAAGCTGCCTGACGACTCAAAATATTTGCTGATAGCAGTCAATCGAACATACTATGACACTAAGTTTAAAATAGTTAGCAAATGCCAGGCGCCCGCGGTTTTTCCTTTAAATAACTTGAAAATGTATGATTTACCCATGGATGACAACGTCAAATACTTAACAGAAAACGTTAAGCCCGGACTGGTAGAAAAACTTGGACTATCCAGAGAAGCGTACACCAGCTATTGTAAAAAACAAAAAGTGAACCCTATAAACGAAAATGAAATCATAAATTTCATTGCGGCAGAGTACTCAAACAAAGACGAGTACGATAAATTATTATCTAGCGCACCAGAAAATTTAAACACAATAGAAAAAATAAAAGATTACATAGAGGAAACTACACTCGTGTACAACCTGAAAGCTTTTGTTGTACACAGAGGCTGCGGGCTAGGCGGCCATTTTTACACCTTAGTTCGTAATGGGCCACATTGGTACAAACTTAACGACCACATCGTCAGCAGAGTTAAAATCGTCAATAATCACATGGAGCAAGCTGTTCTGTTTCTTTATGAAAAGCAAGGTGAATCGACCAGCTAAACCCAAAACGACTAAACCACGGTCAACGTGTCGATTGACACGAGCCGGTTCGTTGCTGAATTCAAATTTTTTTTTAGCCCCCGAAAGGTTGCGGAAACACTTAGAATTTGAGGTGTTACAACCACATCTTTAATCGATGTTGTCAACAAAATGCTGCACAACGTGTTTTTATAGGAATAGTACTCAACTTTCAAAATAGCTAAGTTGAAATCGCTGTTAAAATAAATTATGGAGCTGGCCTTCACAAAATTCCCTAGTCCAATAGCTCCATATAGTTTTCGGTACGTGACTTCGATGCTATCTATTACTTCTTTGAAACTTATGTTATTCAAACTCGATTCAGAACTTTTAGACAGCGACTTCGCATAAAACTTAACAAGTACCCATCGACTCTTGCTCCTAACCATTAAATAAGAAATTTGAACACTGGTAGAAATAGAAAATCAAAATTAATTATATTTATAATTATTTAATGTTCACCTGAATCGGCTCGTCTACATGAGTGACATCTGTGGCCCAGTAATTTAACTTAGGCGAATTTTTTTTTTCAGTTAATGGTTCGTTGTTTCTCTTTTTTGTATCAATGTTAAAGTTTGATGGGCATTTATTTCTTGGTTTACAATCTTTGATATTGATTTCTTGCGAATCATACAGTTTGAAATTTTCATCTGTATAGTCCACTATTGAGGCGGGAATCAGGTCGTACACATCTGTCACTACGGAGTACGAATCACAGTTTCTTTGCAGACAATTTTTTAAGTACAAAAGACAGTTGGAAGAAAAACGTACAACACGGGCAAGTTGATAGCCAAAAAAAGATCCCGTTTTTACTGAAGCCAAATAAACTATCCGAGCCTTTTCTTTTTCAGTCTGAATATCTTTCATATATGATTACATCACTTAGCATGTAAACGTGATTGGTGCTGAAGTTTAAACTGCACTCTGAAGAATAATAGTTGTTACATGTCAGTCAGGGTCAGATGACGAATCGTATCCTTGCATCACCTGTGACCTAGAACCTGTGTGTTTGCTGGTTTTTTTAATAACATCGAAATTGAACCCACCATTCTCTGACGAGCTTACTTTGACCTCATTCGGGACAGTCGAGATTTTTCCTGGCCTGGAGTCGTTTATTTCTAAGTAGCTGTAAAATAAATCGTCAGTCATTTTTTTTGTTTTTGATTCTTCACTCTGAGGTTCAGGTTTTTTTTGGGTAACTTTTTTTATTTCGTGAATTTCACGGATTGAATGCATAATTTCGCTGACATTTACTGCCTTCAACTCTAAGACTTCTTCTTTATTCAAAATTTCCAGTTTTTTTTTAAATTTTTCTTTTTCCTCTTTTTCCTGTGTCTGAGCAATGTTTCGATCAAACAGTCGTTTAGCGCCTTCTTCAACATCGTAATCGAGCTTCTTAGGATTTGTGCATATGCGAATAGTAGAGTGACAGTTGAAGCATTTCCCCTCGATTTTCCATATCGGAATGCCTAAATAAGTTTCGTTGAATTTTTTACTGACTTTGGCATTAAACTTGGTTCCTACAAACATCACATCGTTGCAGTTCAAACACATCAACGTGAATGGCCACAACATTCTGATGTCCAGTTTTTTACATTTTTTCTGTTTTTTTAAGTTAGACGGATTAGTTCTCCTTAAGTTCAAAAAACGCTGTCTTTGACGTTGCAGCTCCTTGGGCTCAAAGTCTGCTGAGTAATACTTACTGATTTCGTTCAAATCGGACATGTAAAAAACTTATGTTATTTCATTTTCAAATAAATTCAGCGACGTCGGTCTTGAAAATTCGCTAATTTGAGCGTATCTTAAACTCGCAAATTATTAATTTTCAAAATATTTTAACTCAATATTAAACTAAGAAAATGACAGATGATAAAAACAACTGGCTACAATCAGTTTTAGAAAACAAAACAAACAGTACGTGCTTTACCGCCAAACTATTTTTGCAGAATTTCGCTCAGAACATTTAGACTTTTTTCAGAGAATTAAAGACAACGAGAGAGAACCTGCTGTTGACAAACCTATTGTTCGTGAGATTTACAATAAAATCGAACAGTTGTTTAAAAACTCTGTCAACGAAAAATCTAAGACTTCTAACTAATATTATTAAATGTTAAACATTAGTAATAGCCTGCTTATAAACGGTTCTTTTTGAACATCTGTAAGCTTAATTGTTTGACAGTATTCGCTAATTCCTTGCGGGTACAACGAAGCATTTTTTATGTAACGATTAATTAAAGAAGAATCTAAAGCGCCGTCTTTGTTTATCTGGATTAAGTTATCTGAGTTTACGTAGGCATTATTGCAGTCAACAAAAATAATTTCATTTTCATGTCGGCCCAGCCGACGCGCGCTGAGTTTTAAATTACGATTATTAAAATCGTTTTTGTATATGAGCTTAGTTTTGTCAAAATTAATCAGCTCAGCTACTTTGGTAGCAAACGCATAATCTAGATTTGTATATAGCACCAGCTCGCTGTTCGCGTGCAAAGCTCTAAGCACGACAAGCGCACCGGGACGTGAAATCAAGTTACGTTCACTAATTCTGTCAGATCCGGTTTCATTAAAAAGCAAATCAAAATTCACGGCTATTGTCAGTTTTTTTTCATTCCAAGGTTTAGATTTGAGAACAGGTAGGTCTTTTCTTGGATTTATCAAAAAACGGGTTCTTTTATTTTTTACTAAATCGAAGAGTAAAGGGTCGCTTATCGCAAAACGACTTGATAATCGACAAAGCAAGTGATACTTCAGTTTTAGCTTTGCATTGTAATTAATCAACGAACAGAAATTGGTAATTTTATCATGTTGTTCATCGATAAAATTGCTGCATTTATTGATTTTTTCGTGAATTATGTCTAGATGGCTTGATATCTTGCTTTGAAATAAACATAATTTTCTATGTGAGTTTTCGTCTTTAAATAATGTAAAACTGTTTAGCTTGCACTTCAGTTTTGCCAAAATGATCTCAAACATAGAAATTGAACAAGCTCGTTTTATGCAGTCAATTTAGAATGCTGGTAATACGCACGGAGCAAATAAGATATAATTTTTTAAGAATGCTTTAATTTATTTTCGGTAATTTTGTTTTATATTTTGATAAAATGCAAAAATTACCGCCATGAGCGCAGATGAAAACATTACTCAACCTGATCACGAAAGCAATCTAATAAGTCAGTACTGTCATTTATCGGATGAACGTTACGCTATTGCGCTTAACCAAGCTTTAGCTAACATTATTCGTCATATTTTTCAAATCGCTGATCCGGAAAAAACTATCTTCGATTTTACTTCCGTAATAAAATTATTTTTGCAACAGGGAATTTCAAAAAATGACATACTATATCTAATAAACGAAGCAGTTGTTCAGTTTATTAACTTGCTAGAGAAACGTAAAATATGTTTCGATTTGCGCGCTACAGCTGTTTTGTTTGTTTTGGTAAGTTGAAACAAAATGTGCAAATATGATCATTTTTTTAGTTTTACATTGATCACTGCTGGCTTTTCGAAGAATACATCGATCCTAATGATTGGTACGCGTTAGTAATGTCTTGCTATTGTGATCATTCAACCATGTTTAGTACTTTAGCCAGCGTCATGAACCGACTTGAACCTATAAACACTGCAAATAACAAAAACATTTTATGCGAGATTTATTCACAGTCAATATCTGACAGTTTCGAAAATCTTAAAACAACTCTTCCTAAATGATGTGTTTCACAACCCAAGTTCCGTTGTCCACAGGGCAAACGTTGCGAGTTATTAGCCAGCGGGAAATGCAATGCTGGTGGAACATGTGATTACACTTACCACAGATGATGCTGCAACTCAATTTTTCGACGTTGTCGTTGCTAGTGACACATGCGATGCAGTGTTCCAACAACTTGTTTCTACAAATCAGACAAAATTCATACTTATTTTTCAGGTTAAGAAATCCGATTGAAAACAAGTCAAAAACCTTGACTCTATCTCCCTTTAAATACGACCCCAACTCTGAAGACAAATCCTCTGTTTCAGAAAATTGGCTATTTTCGCTAAATTCTTGTTCTAAGAATTTTTCAACTTCCAAACTGGACATACTTAACTGTAAAAATACGATTAGATAAAGCGTTAAATATTGAAAAATGAAAAAAATAAATTTATTTTCCAGGCGAAATCTGAACCAGTTTGTTTAATGATCGAAAAAAATAGATCTTTGTATGTTGAACATTAATAGCGACGTCAGACCATCCAGCTTTCCAATTGAAAGTTCAGTCAATCTAGGAACTGGTACGCACGATAAATCAAAAAAAAAAGAAGAAATTCCTGCTTCCTTCGATTTGCAAAAAAGCCATGCTCTTAACAGAAAGCAATCAATTAATATTCAAAACAAAATAAAATCGATTGCCAATAAACTTCACGTGCCTAACTCAGAAAATTATGAAGCGTACAACATAAATCCTAACAGAGAGTTTTATAGCAACGAGCTGCACGGATTTCAGAACCAGTCCATGAGCGGTGCTTTTTCCAGAGTGACTAGTAGATATGGCAATGACGAAGTTAACAAGAACGCTGCAATGAACGAACCAAACATCACAATTGAACGAAAAGAGTCCGTTCAATCTCCAAAGTCCGGCACTACGGCAGCCAAGTACAACAACAGCTATTTACGATCGACTTGCGCGTCGGCAAATCCGTGTAAAGGCACGCCATCTGTGCACACCGGTACAGACTATTCAGACGTTAAAGTTAAGACACCCTACGTAATTAAAAATACAGATAAATTTCAGTCTAACAAATTTATGTCTATAACAGAAAAGCTCCAGAGTGTAGAAAAAATTGTTGACGAACGAGCGAACATACAACTACGAAACGAAGCGAACAGACTGCAGATTTACAAAGAAAAAATTCAAGAGCTTGAGCAATTGCTGGTGAAGTTGTCAAAAGACAGAATCGAAGCTCACAAAACGATTTCTGCGGAGTATGAATCAAAAGTGTGTAATTTACGCGATCACTTCGAAAACTTTATAGAGAAAAAAAACACAGAATTCGTCCATATGCTTTCTTCTTTGGAATATCAATTTAACAACTTGAATGGTCGCATAAACGTTCTGGAAAACGATAACACGGTGCACGAATTAAACTTTGAAATTACAACTTGTAAGCAGTCCATTGAGGAACTCAAGTCGAACGTGCCGGAAATGTTGCAAGAAACATCAAAGGTGTTTGCAATGAAAGTGCAAGAGCTGGAAAACATGATGTACTCCCACTTGGAAACTGAAACAGTAAGTAGCAGCAGTGAAAAATCTTTTTGTAGCAAAGACTAAATTCGAAATTCCATGAAATTGAGAGCGAAGCAAAAATGTTTAAGCAGTCGCTAATCGAATCGCGAAACAATTTCCAAAAAGACGTCTTTCAACGTATTTACGAAATAAAAACAATGCTTGAGCAAGAGAAAAGTAACCGTGAGGAAGGCGATGAAGTCATAGTATCGGCTTTGAACCAATATACCACTACTCTAGACAACGCCATGAAAAAAGGATATAACAGGTAATAGGTCTTTGTTGTTTGGCACGCGGCACTTACAGTAATGCGATGATACGCAGACCAGCCATTTAAAAGTTGATATTGGCAACAGCTAGTCTTAAGTCAACGAGTTTGCGCTTTCTAACCTGGGGAATCACTGCTTCTGGATTTTCAGGGTACACAAAAGCGTTAGGCTTTTGAACTTCTGGAGCCACTTTTTTACCAGAAATAATTTCGTTTAATTTTTTTACTTTACTTTCAAGTTTGACCTTCTCTTCAGTGGCTTCCAAAAACTCTCGACGAGCTCGTCGATACTTGCGTTTTATTTTGGATTTTATACTTTTGCTCATTTATAACGATGAAGAAAGACGAGATAAATAATTATTTATTTTCGGTTGCATTTTTATTCGGAATTTTTTCACGCACCGAAATATTTTTTTCTTTTTGCGTGATTTCCGTGCAATCATTGAGCTGACCAATCAAGCGATTTACCTCACACTGCAAAACAATATTTTGCTCGTACAAAATTTCAATAGTAGCGTTTTGCGTAATTATTTTTCTATTCATGTAATTTATGACGTCTTGCAGCAGTTCGAGCTTAGACTGAATGACAGAATTCGAGTCACAAATTTTTGACATTTCCTCGACCGAGTTTTGGTAATCGGCAAATAGCCGATTATGGATTTTTATCTCAATGTTGGATCCTAGCTGGATCAGCTTTTTGAGTTCATACTGCAATTGTTCACTTCTTAGATCAAGTCCTTTTTTTTGGATAATTGTGTCTTCTAGCGAACTGTTTTGGTTGGGTTTGAGTTTATTGTAAACTATTTGATATTCATTCTGCAGAACATTTGGAATTTGCAACCTACTTCTAAAATAACAAATTCTTCTTCGAGCTCATTGAGTTTTTTGTTATACTACGGAAAATAGCGTACATACGACTTACTTGCTGAAAATTGCTTTCTTTAACGTTTGTCATTTGGCGGTCATAGCGTTGCACCTAAATTACGTTTGTATAAACAAGCAATTTAAGCGTAAACAATGGTGACAAAAATTAAATACTTATACCAGTAAAGATAAACACGTTTGCTAACGTTGTGAACTACATTACAAATACTAAAAATAATTACCATCAATTAAAAACAGAACTACTCGTCTTTACTGTTGTCGTCGTCGCCGTCGTTGTAACGGTTGTATCGAGAACCTTTATAATTGTTTTCGCGACTGTTGTAGGGTTGGGAGCGGCTTCTGAAGTCTCTACTACGGTCTCTATTGTAGTTTCTGTCCCGTCCACGGCCACTTCGCTCTCCACGGTCTGGTCTTTCAGATCTCTCGGGTCTTTCGGACCTGTCTGACCTATCCGAGCGGTCAATACGGTCGCGACTTCGTTCGCCTCGGTCACGGCTGTATCCGTTGTCTTGACGTTTAAAGCCACTGTTGTAGTAGTTGCTTCTTCTACTGTTGCCGTTGCGGTCGTCGCCTCGGTTATTGTAACCCCCGCGGCGCGAACGCATGTCGTCGGGCGTTTTACGAGAATGTCTAGCGATATGTACATAGATCTTGCAGTCTTTAATGGTCGTTCCGTCCATTTCCTTGACAGCGGCTTCGGCTGACTCGCGCTTTAAAAACTCGACAAAAGCGAATCCCCTGGGTTCACGAGTTTCATAATGGAGTGGAATATAGATGTCTCTAATTTCTCCTAGCGATTCGAAATGTTCACGAATGTCTTGTGTAAAGATATCTGAGTCTAAGTTGTCGATTAAAATACTTGTGCTTTTGTTTTCGTAATGGTCGCGCTGACGCGGGTTTTCGCGGTAGCGATTGGTGTCCGAATACCTGTTGTTGTGCTGGTTATCCGATTTTTTGTCGTTATCGTCAACCTCTTGTTCTAGTTTGCTGTCAGAAACAGAATCTATCATACCTGCTTCGGTTTCGTCTATGAATTTCTGGGCGTTTTTTTCATCTTCGTAGGTGTTATTGTTCTCGTCCTTCAAAGAGTCGTTTGCAGAGTCTCCATATTCCTTCATACTTATGTCGTCATCCCAGTATACATGCGGCGGGGAGTTTGATCCTACTGAAGTTTCTACTGCAGCACACTTACCAGTGTTGTTCGTTTCCTCCTGACCTATTATATCAGCCGTCTGCGACTCTTCACTAAACATCTTTATTATTCAACTGTGTATGGATGAGGGTTTATTATTGCCTCACAAAAACAAATTACTCAAGTATACAACTTAAATTAAATAAATTTTTTCTAAAATTTTCACTTATCACTATTTTTAATTATTTATTATATCAATAATAATTTTTTGCAAAAATCAACGGAAATCCTGCCGTTCTCAACTCTTATTTTTTATTTCGTAGCCACTCTTTATCAAGTTCGTACAGTCCTCAAATATTTTACATGCTAAAAACATTTTAAACTCTTTGAACTTACATTTACCCCAATCTTTTTTGACTAAATCTGCTATTTTTTTTATTTCGTCAATTTCAATCAAAACATCCTCGTTGAAATTGTTCCATATGTTCATTTGCACTTCGTGTAAAAGACCACGATTGAATAGCTGCTGGCGGCGCGTTATGTTATGTTCTAATGAGTACAAAACATGCAACAAATAGATTGTTCTCTTGGTCAATATATTGACACAGTTACAATAGTCATCACTGCTCAACAACCTGATCCAACATTCGTCATAGCCGCCGTAAAAATCATCGTAAAACTTTTCGTCGCTTAAGCTGTGTTTTTCCTTATATAAATTAAAAATTTTTTTCAAGTCTTCTTTAACAGTTGATCGGTTATTCACCAAATCGCGGAGTTGAGTATTTTCAGCGAGGAATTGTTTGTCTTGTAACGCCAAATTTCTTTTAACGAGAAGCTTCCAAAAAATAATCGCTATTATACAAACCTCGGTGACTATAAACGATACTATTATTGCCAACTCCATTTTATTTTTTTTCAAAATACGCTGCTTTATGAAATTTCAATTAATTTTTCACAGGAAATACAAATGTGATGAAATTGCAATTAATTACTATTTAACACATGAGTAACATATCACAATATAAACCGCCGGTGTTTAATGCACAGGCCTTAGATAATAAAGATATAAACATTTACTGCATAAATGCAATTCGTTCGGTTGCAGCCTCCATGGTCACGATTGCGAAATCTGGACATCCGGGCGCTCCGTTGGGATGTGCGCCCATAGCTCACGCTTTATTTGGATACGTGTTTAACTTTGATCCAAAAAACCCCAACTGGGTGTGGAGAGATAGGTTTGTTCTGAGCAATGGGCATGCTTCCGCGCTACTTTACACAATGCTCAGATTGTTCGACCTTTTGACAGAGAACGATTTGATGAATTTCAGGCAACTAGGTAGCATCACTGCTAGCCACCCAGAAGCTAAACTTACTCCGTGCGTAGATGTAACCACTGGGCCTCTTGGGCAAGGTGTTGCCCAAGCTGTTGGGCTCGCGATCGCCGCTCAAAATATGAGTGCTCACGCTGACTTCGCAATTCAACCGCACATCTATGTAATGTGCGGAGACGGATGTTTGAACGAAGGTGTTGCGTTAGAAGCGATTGCGATAGCTGGAAACCTGCAACTCAACAACTTGACACTGATATACGATCGCAACGGTATCACTATCGATGGCCCTACTTCTATCGCCTTCAATGAAGACATCCCCGCTTTATTTAAAGCTTATCATTGGAACGTGCTCTGCGTTCAAGACGGTAATGCAGACTATAATGGCATTGTTAGAAATTTGAAATTAACTAAAGAAATCGCTGGACCTACTGTACTTATAGTGAACACGACTATCGGTTTTGGAGCGGACAATGAAGCCACTGCAGATGTACACGGAACCCCGTTAAAGGAAGACCAACTGAGGAATTTAAGAAAAAAACTCGGGATCACTCTGGAAAACAAACTCGATTTCCCACCAGAGGTCAAAGAATTTTACACGAAACGAAGCGTCACTTTATCTGAATCTCTTGCCAAATACGAACAACTGGTCACAAGCAACGAAAAACTCAAGGCAATCACGGAAAGATTCACTGCTCCTATAAATACAAAAAAACTCGAAGCCGAACTCATTAATCTTGGAAGTACTTTGCCCGCTGACAGCGGACGAGGAACGTCCGAGCACGTGTTGAAATATGTTTGTGAGCGTCTTCCAAACGTTATCGGAGGTTCTGCTGATTTGAAGAGTTCGAATCGCACTGCTGTAGACGACTTGCTAGACAAGGCCTTACAACCTTCCAACCGCAATGGAAGATACATTCATTTTGGCATTCGTGAACATGCAATGGTTGCCATTAGCAACGGAATAGCCGCTTTCGGCTACTACTTGCCTTTTTGTGCTACTTTTTTCAACTTCTTTGGCTATGCTGCGGGTGCAATAAGGCTCACTGCCATGTCGTATTTCCAGGTTTTATTTATAGCAACTCACGATTCCATTGAGCTGGGCGAAGACGGCGCTACACACCAACCCGTTGAATCTTTACCTCACTTCCGAGCCATGCCCAATCTCATCGTGATCAGACCTTCTGACGCCGCAGAAGTTGCCGGAGCTTACGCGATCTGGCTACAAAGAAAAAACACTCCCACATTAATGTTGTTATCGAGAGGCAAGATCACGCCCACTTCAAATACATCAGCAGCCAACGTCGCGTATGGTGCCTATATCGTCAACGATTTCTCTGCTTTATCTGACAAGAAACAAATTGTACTTGCATCCTCTGGAACTGAACTCAAGATTGCTGTCGAAACCAAAAAACTTTTAGAACCTTTTTTCAACGTTCGAGTCGTTTCATTCCCTTCTTGGTGTTTATTCTTTGAACAAAACGACGAATATCAAACCAGCATATTCCCTCGTCACTGTTACTGTGCTTTGATGGAACCCTACAACACGATAGAACTCAGCAAGTTTTTCGATGAAAAAATATCTATTACCTTAGACAGGTTTGGGTTATCTGGAAAAACAGCAGACATTTATGAAGCACTTGGATTTACGGCGAAACATTGGGCCCAAAAAATCATGGATTTTATTTTAAATTAAATGTAGTCAAGCGTCAAGTTGCTTGATACGTAAACAAATTGTAATACTAATTACCAGTTAGCCTAAGTCTTCAGTTATATATTTTTTGTAAACTATGTTAAACTTTTAAACCTAAAAAGAAATAAAATTAAATAATATGAGTTTCATACGATCCGAACTAGATCAGTATGAAGATTTTTTATCGAATTACAAGCTAGTCGAAAGTGAACCAGCAGCAATTCAAGATAAGCGGTTTGAACAATTGTTCATTGGGTACAAAAATCTTCAAACAGAATTATCTCAGATCAAGCAGCGCATAGACGAGCTGGAAAAAAATTTTCAAACAGAAAAAGTTGTTAAAGCTGAATACGATAAAGAAAATAAATACATGAATAAAAAATACAATGAAGAACTGTATCGTTTCACAGAGCCGCAAAATGTTTTGAAGGCGTCATCTCTAGAAGAACTCCAAGATTCGTGTCTCTCACTGCCGTTCGACCTAGACAGTAAAACCAAACAGGAAAAAAAAGAAAAAATAATACAAAAACTGCGTAACTCGCTGAAACTGTCATTGCGAGTCAAAAGCAAGCAAATCATGAACAAGGCCCTTTCCGAAAAAAACTTGTCGGAAGCGAAAAACCTCAGTTTACGGCGTTTGCAAAGTGATTACTCCTCGGCACAAACGCATTTCAACAAGCCCGTTGTGGAGGTGGGAAGTTCGCTAGAAAATAAAAACTCAAACCAAATCATAGATAAGATTTCTTCGTTGAAGTCTCTTGTGAAGAAGACAAGAACATACGTGTGACTTCAAGCGAAATCAGTTATAAGTTTTTCTATATCTTTTGGAGTAGCGATTTTCTCGGTCTTCATTGGATTCAAAACGCGGCTTGTAATCTTGTTTCCGCAGTGGATGAGAGTTAAACTTCCGGTGTCTTTGAAACCTTTGAATCACGTTCAGTTTGCTCTGCAGCAGTTGCTGAGCGCGAACAGCTTTTCTGCGCATTCTAAGAACGCGCTTCTTAAGCTTGAACGCACGCCGATACCCAACACCCCCGCCCAGACGCATTGGAAACCAATTTTTCTGGGTACGAGATTTTTCCTTGTCCACGACAATAGTAAAGCCGTCGATCTTTGTCTTGTTTTTTGTCCAAATAGCTTGGTTTACAGATTTTAGGTTTTCAAACTCCAAAAACGCGTAACCTCGACTGCAGTTGTTCAAATCCTGGACCAGACGGATATCTCGAATAGGTCCACAGCTTTCAAAAATGTTGTAAAGCGTTTCTACCGACGTGGCGTAGCTCAGTCGACCAATGAAAATTGTGTTTTCAGACACCATTGTCAACTTTTGATCGTCGAAGTTGCGTTTCAAGTACTTAGCTCTCTCCACGGCCAGCTCTTCCTTGACGGCCTGCTGCTTGAACGCTTTCTTTTGTTTCTGCTCTTCTTTTTCGTTCACGGCCAATTCTGCGTCGCTTGAATTTTCCGTCTCGAAATATTGTAAAAAATCTTTTACGCCAGAATACTCGGAAAAGCAACGTATACCTTTTCTTTTTTCGTGAACTATGTTAGGTGCGAGAGCAAACAGAGCTAAAAGCTCTGGGGGCATTCCAATCGCAGACATCTAGTTTACAACCCTAATGAATCATTCCAATGGTACATATAAAATTTTATTTCAAACATTTAATTAAAAATTATCCTAATCATTTCCAACCTAATATAAAATACAAAAATTATGCGAAAAATACCCAATTATTCGCAACTAAACGGCTATTTTTCAAACTAGACAGAACGGCCAAAGAGATGCCAATTAGTATTTTTTTACCGATGTTAACGGATTTAACGTCACGTACGTTTTCTCCACTAATGCTCGGGAAAGTAAATGAGAGATAAATCGTATTAGTGTATTGTTATACTACATATTTCATGCCCTCCCAACAACCTCCAATTAGCATGCCGTTAAACAGAAGTTATTTAAAACGAGTTTTATCATAACTGATTCAATAATGGTATAACAACTTGTTTCTTCGCAACGTCAGCTTTTTAGCCGGACAAACGCAGAAGCTAACTACATCTTTGTTTCATACTGCAATTTTTTTCCGCACTTATTTTAGAGTCGCTGCTTGGCACCTCATTGCCTTGTATGTGCTTAACAGTGCGAAAACTAACTAACAATCTCTAAAGATGGTATTTCCTAATGCTCTTCTTTTAACTGTTAAACAATCCCTTTCGCTGCTTTGTATTTGCTAACCAGCCTTAACGTACTTTTCCGCTTTTTACTTTTTATCTACATATTTGATTTTTTTTTTTAAACGTTCTGGCATTGAAGATAGCAGTCTGGCTTTTTCAATTCTCAAAACTCTTTCATCGTAGTAGTAGATTAAAAGGAATGTTCCAAAACTATCCACATTATTTCGTTAACTGAGAAATGCTGACAGTAAAACTTAAGTAGATTTTTTTTAGCGATTCAACCTTAGAGATTGTAAAATTTTTATTTTGATGATACCACCGAAACGTTCAAAATATTTATTTGTAATTTTTTTCGGCAACAGCACTTGCTATCGACTAGAGCATTTATATTGGACATATGTAGTTGTATGACTTGTATAATTTAAGGCTGATACTTTTAAGTGAACACAAAATTCGTACAAATTATTTTCAGTTTGAGTACTATAATAGCGGGCTGGCGTTGTTATGTTTGCATTTTTTCTTACTTAGAAAAACAATCAGAGCAAATTGTTAATATAAATTCATTGTAATATCCAATGCAGTTGCTCGGAAAAAAGTCCACGAGCTGTTTGTTAAATTACAGCTCACAAAAGTGTAACTATCTGAACCGAAAGTAGCCCTGTGCAAACCCTTACATTCTATAATATGTGATATTGTTATTCATAACTTTCAACCAGGTCGTCAAATTAACAACTAATATTTATTTTTGTATAGCATTAGCTTTTGGTTTTCGCACTGTAGCGAGCAGAAAATTACAAATAATTTTTTATGAACATTTTTAACAAACATAGTATGCAATTACAAATTAAATAAAATTATCATGAACTAAAGTTAACGGCTCGATCATTCGTAAAACTAAATATCGAGTACGAAAAGAAGAATATCCGAGTTTGTAATTCGAGATTTTTAATTTTCAGCAACGCCCATCAACAATTTATTTGATTTTAGTTTATTTGTGACAGCATGAAGCTAAAATAAATTAAAAATAAGCATAGCTAATTTTCGGCTTCGAAATTACTACTTTTACACTATTGCAGACGCCTTCCTATTAGTTTGTTATTTTCCAGTGATTTAACTGTAAAAACATCGTTAGAATACGTTTGACAGAATTCAAAAAGAACAATCATTTCAAGGTTAATCCATAAACGACTAATGACTCGTAACGCTGAATACGAGTTGCAGCTGACTTATTTTGAACCAAACTAAAAATCTCGGCACTAAACTTAACCAGCTTATGCAATCTTAAGCAAACTCTTGGACAATATTAATCTATTTACATTATACGTTGAATAAAAGTTTCTTTAGTGCTCAAAATTGATTGTCAAGTAGACTATAAAATTTTATTTAAACGATTTCAGACTTATTTCGTGACTCCGAAAATAACAACTTAAATTTCATTGTTGGCCTTTAGCCATTCAGGAATTTCGGGGAACATGGGCTCTGTTTGCTCATTGTGCTCTTGGATGTACTGGTCAGC